CGGCTCAACCAGACGTCCGCGCTCACCCTCGTCCTCGCCTTCCTCAACCTCAACGGCAGTGCCGCTGTCGGTGCGGTCGCGGTGGCGGCGGCGGCGGCACACACGTGCCATCCACGGCCATGGGTCGGTCGTGATAGAGTCTGGCAGGAGGTTGAACATGGTGGACCATGCCAGCGGCAGGAAAGCAATGAGCACGCATGCGCCCCACTGGTTTGCACTCAGCGGCTCCGTCTCGATGGCCGTGCCGCCAAACTCGGTGATGAGGACCTGAATGATGAGGGAGAACACCCACACGCCGCAGAAGATCCAGTGGCGGGTGAGGCCGGCCAGGATGTTGAGCTCGCCCCGAAGCTTGCGGCAGTTAAGCTGGTTCACAAGCTGACTCAGCACAAATGAGGTGAAGATGATCGTGTAGTGGCGCACGGAAAACTGGGCCTTCTCGTTCTTGGCTGGGTCCTTGTGCGAGTTAAACCAATCCTCGCCAGCGTACAGGATCGTCAGGAACGTCGCAGACTGCCGCAAGACAATAGTGTGATACAAGGGGTAATTGGTGGGGCTTGTGAGTGTGTGAATGTACAAAAAGACTATGTGGGTGGGAATGTGCACGTAAAATGCAACAACACAGGCATCGCGTGCAACCATCAAACACACACACACACACACACACACACACCTGCATGACGACTTGGAAGATCATGCGCCTGATCATGTATGTGGTGAGGAGGGGCTCGCTTCGGTCATATGGCTTGTACGTGAGCAGCTTCTCCGTGGGTGGCTCCGTCGCCAAAGCGAGCGCTGCAAACGAGTCCCTGAACACAAGCACGTATGTATATGTGTATGTACGTGTGCGTGTGTGAGGAAGAGGTGAGACGAAGACTTGTGCGACGAATATGTGTGAAACGACAAGCATCAACTTGCAGGCCAATCAGCATCCCCCGCGAACATATGCCGTGCACACTCCAACAACAAATCATGCCTGCTAAAGGCGACATGAAAGAGCAGACAAACGCACATGATGAGGTTGATCCACAGCAGCTGGACAGGCTTGAGCGGGGAGTTGTCGGCGTTGCCATTCGGGTCGCTCAGGACAGCAACAAGGACGACGATGATGGCAGTAAAGTTGACCGTCAGCTGGAACTGCAGGAACTTGCGAATGTTGTCAAACACATTGCGGCCCCACTTGATGGCGTTGACAATGGAGGCGAAGTTGTCGTCCAGCAGCACAATCGCAGACGCCTCCTTGGCCGCCTCGGTACCAGAGAGACCCATGGCAAAGCCAACATCCGCCTTCTTCAGCGCAGGGCCATCGTTCACGCCGTCGCCAGTCACAGCAACAACATCGCGCTGCTTCTGCAGCAGCGTCACCAGCTTGAGCTTGTCGAGGGGCGATGAGCGGGCAAGAATGCGGAGACGGGGCAGAAGTGGAATCAGCTCCTCCTCGCTCTTGTTCCGGAAGTCAGGGCCCTCCATGCAGATGTGGTCCTCAGATTCCTGCACGTGGTGGCCCGGGCATTTGTTTGCGTTGTGTTTGTGTGACGATGTGAGAGGATGTGTACTTGCAGTTGGCCATGTGCGCACGTGAACATGAAAATCACACCAATACAACGATCAAGGCGACAACTGCTCTCGCTAACACGCACACACACACACACGTTTTCTTGCTCTCTCTCTCTCGCACACACACGCACACACGTCGCAATCTGAACACAACGACACAAACCACTCACGTCAAAGAGGCCGCAATTCTTGCCAATGTTGCGGGCAATGGCAGCAGCGTCACCGGTCACCATACGCACAGTCACGCCTGCGCTCTGACACGCGCGCACGGCGTCGCGCACCTCCGGACGCAGCGGATCCTGGATACCAACCAGGCCCTGGTGGTGGTGATGGTGGTGTCGGTGGTGTTGGTTGTGGTTGAGACATCAGGAGCGTGCAATCGCCGCTTGTGATAATGCCGTCGTTGTTGTGGGAACTGGTTATACTCAAGCACACACACACACGCACACACACACGCGCACACACGCCGACGTACGAGGAGGACGAGTTCTGGCTTGTCGGTGTCTGTCCAGTCCTGGTCGTTGTCTGAGCAGCGGAATGCCATTCCGATGGAGCGAAGCGCTTTCTCGCCCATCACCGTCAACTTGTCCTCAAACCGCTTGCGCGCATCAGCAGTCATCTCTTTCACGCTCCCATCACTGTGTGTGTGTGTGTTTGTGTGTATGTCGTTGTTATTGTTGCACATGAGCGAATGTAAGAACTCAACAGTAAGTTCAACGCGATCTTCAACACTGCCCCCTCTACACACACACACACACACACACACACACACACACACAACAGCACCAGCACCGCGACTTCAACTCACGCTGCGACGTATCGCGTGGACATCTCGAGGAGGACCTCTGCGGCGCCCTTAACGTGCTGGATGTTTTTTCCTTCGCCCGAGACCGGGGTACCGCTGGAGCTCACGACCGTGGACATGCGCTTCTTGTCAGAGGAGAACGAATACACCTTCTCAACCTGAGTCGATGTGCAGGAGGGGGCACAGAGAGGGGGGGGGGTGAGAGGCATGGGTGAATAAGACGGAAGGTGAATGATGGTGGTGGTGGTGGTTTGGGCGGACATGAGCGCTCGAGGAATACAATGAAACGAGCGAGCAACGAGAGTGGAGAATTGGTTCAACAACAATTGCTCACAAACTCCATGCGCCACGCACCTCCGTTGCCTCGCGGATCTTGGTGTAGTCCTGGCCAAGGGTTCCGAGAAAACCAAGTAGTGCACCTGAACATGAAGGCAGGAGGGAGGAAGTGTGGAAGATGACACATTGTCATGTGAGCACGCAAACGGCAGCGAACCGATGACGCACGCGGGCATGAAGACATGCACACCTACGCACACCTACGCACACATGTGCACACACACACACACACACGGGACGCACATTCGGTCCTGCTTCCGACAAAGGTGACGACGCCTTCCTCGTTGATGCTCTCGTATGCGGTGCTGTTGACAGCAATGCTGTTGTACAGCAGCCGCAGCATGTCGTTGTTCATCTTGTCAGACTTGCCCTGTGTCAGCAAGTGGACGCAAACGAGTGTGGTTGAAGAGTAAGATGAGAAACAGGATGGACAAAGAGCTGCACACAAACCAAACACAACACAACACAACACACTGCACCCCAACACACTACACTGCACTACAACACAGCGCGATTAAACAACGCGGCAAAGAACACGACACAACTGTAGCAGATGGCAACACTGCTAAAGCCACCACCAGCCACATACCGTCTTGTTGTCGATTGGCAACTCTTCCTTCTCGTTGGAGTCGAACATGGTGTCCAGCAGCACGCCTTCAACCACCGTCATCTTGTTCTGCGTGAGTGTTCCCGTCTTGTCGCTGCAGATTGTGGTGGCGCCACCCATTGTCTCGCACGCATCCAAGTGACGCACGAGGTTGTTGTCGCTGTGCACGTGTGCATGGTTGTGCATATGAAGGTGTGCATGTGTGTGTGTGTTTGTGGGTGAGAAGACGGGAGAGCAAGCAAAGACATGCAGGCGCGGCTTGAAGGTGGATCGGAACCACAACTGCATTTGAACAGCGACGTGCACACACACACACACAAGCAGCAGCACCACACACACACACACACAATGCGGCACAACAAGCAGCAACACAACAACCACCACGCTGCCAAGCATACCGCATCATGTTCTTCATGGAGTAAGCGAGGGCGATGGTGACAGCGAGCGGCAACCCCTCCGGCACAGCCACAACGACGATGCTGATGGCAATGATGAGAAAGTCGACGGCGTTGTTGGCGGCGTCGGTTCCGTTCACGTCAGAGCCCGCCACTGCAAAGTACTTGATCAGCTGCGCACGCACAGGGAACAAAAAAAAAAAGTCGACGAGACCAGGGATGTTTGGATTATCGTTTGTGCGGGTGGTTGATGGGGGGGGGGTAGTTGTGAGGCCCATCTTTGTTCAGAAGTGTGGAGGCTTGAAAAGCACGCGAAGAACACACACGCACATGTAAGCACCACACACACACATACACACACACACACGCACATGTAAGCACCACCACACACACACACACACACAACCACACAGCCACATGTACACACCTGTGCGAAGAAGATGAGGAGGGCGGTGATGATACCAAAGTTACCGATGAAGTTTGCGAGCTTTGAGAGCTTGACCTGAAGCGGGGTGTCCTCGTTTGGCGTGCGCAGGGACATGAGGATACGGCCTTTGAACGAGTGCTCGCCAACGCAGATGACAAGCATCACGCCAGACCCGCCCGTCAGCTGTTGTTGGAGAGAGGATGAAGGTGATGGAGAAGGGAAGGAGGCGTGAGAAGATGTGACAAAACGGGAAGGAGGCGTGAGAAGGTGTGGCAGCGGCAAGGAGGTGATGCAATCATGAATACTACATCAACAACACAACACATAAGCAGATAAACACACAAACAAACAAACAAAGACAACTGAACAAATAACCAACCAACACCCACAAACACGCACACACACACACACACACCTGCGTGCCGGAGAGGAAGAAAGGGTCGCGGTTGGGGGCGTGGCCTTTCTTCTTGTGCTCGCTCTCACCGGTGGCGGATGACTCGTCCGCAACAACAGACTCGCCAGATACAAAGACGCCGTCTGTGACACACGAGGTGTCATGTGGGGTGGAGGGGTGTGAGGAGTGGAACAAAGGTTACGTGTGCGAACAGTCGAGGCCATCGCTAGGTTCATAAAGCATTGACGTCCGCGTTCGTACACACACACACACACAAACACACACACACATTACAGGCACCACTGCATGGCTGTGGAACATCGCTTGTTCTCTCTCCAAAAACAACACGACACAACACAACTCAAACACAACACAACACAACACGACACAACACGACACGCGCACCTGCTGGGACGACGTCGCCCGTGTCCACGACGACCAGATCGCCAACAACAACTTCATACACGGAGACGCGGAGCTTCTTTCCGTTGCGAATGATCGTCACCTCGTGATCGTTCTTGATTTCGTTGAGACGGCGGAACTGGCGCTCCTTCTGGTAGTCGTTCAGGCTGGTGATGGCAACGACGACGATGATGGCGACAAACACGGCAACGCCGTCCTTCCATCCAAGCTCGGGCCCCTCCGTGACCATTCCAATGACAAGACTGATGGTAGCAGCAATGCACAGCATGATGAGCGTCTTATCCTGTAACGCCTCCCACACGAGGTGTAGCAGGGAGCGAAACTGGACCGGTGGGAGCTTGTTCACGCCAAAGTGCTCACGGTTGTGCTCCACAACATCGTCGCTGCTGATGCCCTTGTCCATAGAGGTTTTCAGGTGCTGGCACAGCGCGTCCACACCGCCGATGGACTGCAGCAGCTCGGGGCTCTTGGGATCAACCAGTGCATACCTGAGAGCATGGAAGGAACAGGATGGTGACGTGAGGAGTGCGCCGGGGTGAGGACAGGGGGGGGGGGTGGGAGCGAGAAGCGCGGTGCAGGCAATTGCTAACAGCAACTTCGAACAAGAGTCATTGCGAACCACGACAAAGTCACGCAGGCTCGCAAGCGCATCATTCAGGGCACGCACACAGCAAGCGCATGGGACACACACACACACACACACACACATGCAGCACGCACGCGCACACACACATGCAGCACACATGCAGCACGCACGCACACACACACACACACTCCCACACACACACTCCCACACACACACACACACACACACACACACACACACACATGCAGCACACATACAACGCACAGGTCATCGATGGAGAGCTCCTGGCCGCTGGCGCCCATGGTTGTCTTGAGATGCGCGGCGGCTGTCTCGCTGTCAAAGGCGGGCTTGGAGACGGATTCCTTACGACCGTTCTCCAAGTCATCCGGTGTCGGCGATGACGCGCCGGTGGCTTCGGGCGCATTGCCGTTCACGCCGTTCATGACACCGCCGTTGTGCTGGGGCAAGAGGTCAGTCTCGCTCTCCTGCACCACGTTGCCGATGCTTGTTGGGTTTCCGATAGCGATGCGGTAGCTATCGGTTCTTTCGTCGATGTTCGTCTCTGCTGTCGACTTCATGCTTCACTACACACAAGCAAAAGCGCCCAATCCTCGGCTAGTTGTGTGTGTGAGTGCGTGTGTGTGTGTGTGTGCACGTGAGTGCGTGTGCGTGTGTGTGCACGTGAGTGCGTGCGTGTGTGTGTGTATGTGTGTGTGAGCGAAGTGAATAGTAAACGTGCAGACTCGATGGGAGAATAAATGAGTGGTCACGTGTACGTGCAATGTGTGGGGCGAGCAAGCGCTTCCACCATCGCCACAACAAACTCCGCGCGCAGAACAAGGCAGCAATGTTGGCGGAGGACCGCTCAACATGCACGAACGTCAACAGATGCAAAGCGGATGATGCGCAGGGCCTTGACAATCTTCACAGCCCTCATGGCAGGGGGGGGGGGTGTACCTGCCCAAGAAATGGACCCGAGGGGCTGCGAGTTGAGGCACAGAGAACGTTGGGCAACGCCAAAATCTGGAGAAGCAATGACGTGATCGCATGCAGATACAACGTGCAACGTGCAGGTGTGCCACTCTCCGGTCAGAATGCGCACACACAGCAAGGCTGGCTGGTGCAATCGAGTGCCATGACAACCTGGCACGATGCAGCTCACAAAGAGGCATGCACGGAACCAACCACGCACACGCGCACCCGCACCCGCACATCGAGCACACGCGCTCATACCACCCTCCCATCTTTTCCACACACACACACACCTTGCAGGCAGCGAGGGTTTGTGGCTGTGTGTGATGTTCGCTTCACAACCACCATGCAAAGTAAGCAAGACACTTGTTTGGGTGCTCGATTTCTTCGCCTTCTTGCTTCTTGTCCTTTTTGGCTGGCAACAACAGATTTCGTCCGAATTTAGCGGTTCGCGTCATCGGTTGCAGCGAACTGCCCGGTTCGCGATGATTCGCTGAAGATGCCCAAGAATCGGCGTTGGCTGCAATGTAGTTGTTCATTGGTACGGGCCCAGGCGAGCACAATGAGAAAAAAATAAAACAAATAGTAGTGCACTGCGTAGCCCTCACTGTTTACCCCTGCTGCTGTTGCTGTTGTTGTTGCGTAGCAGACGGACGGACAGCGGAGACAAGCATGCGACGAAAGTGTTTGTGTGGCAGTGTCGCGCCAACAGTGGCTGTGAACGCGCTGCTGTGTGGACTGCTCCCCACAGTGCTAGCGGCGGTGCTGCTGACAACAACGCCCGCGCATGCTGTGGAGGCACAACCCGCAGGTACGTTCATCTGTGTGTGTGTGTGTGTGTGTGTGTGTGTGTGTGTGTGTGTGTGTGTGCGCGCGCGCGCGCGCGAGAGAGTGCTGCGTTGTGTTGCTGTACTTGCCTGTTTGTGCCACACACACACGCACACACACACACACACACACACTCTCTCTCTCTCTCTGTCTCTCACGTCGCACTGTTTGCCGCCCCCCGCCCCCCGGAACAGTGCTGTGGCGGTTTGATCGAGAAACGCCGGAAGTGGCATGGGATTCGCTGGGGAACAAGCAGGCGGCCATTCGTCCGCCCGCGAAGAAAGTGTTGGAGGACGCGGTACAGGCAGATGAGTGGCCTGGACGTGTGCTTCAGTGCAATGGTCAAGATGGCTACGCCGAGGCCCTGTACGACACCCACACGGAGTTCCAGACCAGATCCCTGTGGATCAAGATGGAGGACACGAGACAAACGGCCTCGCTGCTCTCGCTCACGTCCCAGGACGATGACACGCACGTGAGCGAACTGCGCCTTGTCCAGGGCCAACTGCAGCTGCACATCTTCAACCGCGCCGGCACATACGTCATCATCGCGCCAGAGCAGGACGTCAGCTTCTCCGCAAACGAGTGGCACCATGTGGCCGCTGTGCTCAACAGCACGGACGGCACCCTTTTCCTCGATGGGCGCGTCGTCGCCAAAACGGCGCTGCCCTCCGTGAAGCTCAACGTTGACACGCTGATCATGTGTCGCCGCTTTACAAAAGACTCGGCTGCCGAACAAAGCGGCATCTCTGCCCTTCCATTCACCGGCTACATCAACGACGTCTTCTTCTCCCCATCCGCCCTCACACCCGCCCAGATTGTCGCCCTTGGTGTGTTTGCACGTTTGTTTGTGGGGGTGTGTTCGTTTGTGTGTGTGCGCGAAATGCTTGTGTGTGTGCGCGCGCGTGCGTGTGTGTGTGTGCGCGCACGTGCGTGTGTGTGCGTGTGTGTGCGTGTGTGTGCGCGCAAAATGCTTGCATGTGGGTGCGAAATGCTTACATGTGTGTGCGTGTGTGTGCTGTGATCATTCACGCTGCTTGATGTGAAACTCATCAACCATGTATCTCATGCCCTTTCGGCGCAACACACGCACACATATACATACACTCATGCACACGCACACGCACACACACACACACACGTGCACAGGGGAGCCCGCGCCGGTGACGACGGCAGCACCGACCACGTCCACAACATGGGCCGGCACCCAGCAGCCACTGCACGTGTGGACATTCGACAACGTGGAGCAGGACCTTGTGCGAGACCAGGGGATGTTGTATGCAACGGGGCTTGTGCAGAACGCTGTTCCGGACAGCAACGTCGTGCGCCGCGGTGCAGGCTCGCTGCTGTTTCCATCTGGTGTACAGAGCCACGTGGAGATGGTTGACGTCATGCTGGTCCGCCCCTTCACCCTCACGGCGTGGGTACGCATCCGCAGCGACGCCCCCATGCTCATGGTTGCCCTGAGCGTGCTCTCGGAGGACAAGTCGCAGCTGTTTGAGATCCGTGTCATATCCGGTGTTGCGCAGGCGCAGCTGACCACATCAGCAGGCACAACCCCGCTCCTCCCAAGCAGCGGAGACGGCGTGCTTGTGCCCGAGCGGTGGCACCATGTTGCCGTGCGCTTCAGCATCAACCGCGCTGAGCTGCTCTTTGACGGGCACGTGATTGCCAGCATGGAGGCGACCCCTGCCCTGCACCCGCAGTGGTCGCTTGACATTGGCCGGCGCATGCTCGACACGCCCATCTACCACTTTGAGGGCTGGATTGACGATGTGGCCATTGCCAACGACGCTGTCCCAGACGCCGCCATCATCCACGAATGTTAGTCGTGTGTGTATGTGGGCGGGGGGAGCAGGTTGTGTGCACGGTTGTGTGTGTGTGTGTGTTTTTTATGTTTGTGTTTGTGTGTGGTTGTTTGTAAGATATTGCCTTAGTCATGTCGTGTTGTGTTCGTTTGCGCATGCCATTCATTGTGTTCTGTTCGTGTGTCACGTGTGCACGCGTTCACACACATGCACAAGTGTACCATTTTCGTCGTCTCACCTAAGCAGCATGTTCGTGCTTGTGCGAGCAGACACGGCACTTGTTGGGTATGAGCTGACACAGCGCGTGAGCGGTCTGCCAAACATGACGCAGCTCGCAGAGCTGTCGGCGTCAAACGCGCTCGTGTTCGTTGTGGAAGCCGGATCCGAGCGCCAGTGCGCACGCGAATGTGACGCCAACCCAAACTGCCGCGTGCTGCTGCTGTTTGCTGGGGATGGACAGGTGTGGCACTGCGCTGGTCTGGATGACAGTATGCGTGTCGACGTTGATGACAACCAGCCGGGTGAAACAAGGCTGTATCGCTCGCTCAAAACGACGACCACAACAACAACAACAACAACAACTACTACTACTACTACTACTACAACTACTACTACTACAACTACAACTACAACTACAACAATTACAACAACAACAACTACAACAACCACCACTACTACTACTACTACTACTACTACTACTACTACTACTACTACTACTACTACTACTACTACTACTACTACTACTACTACTACTACTACTACTACTACTACTACTACTACTACTACTACTACTACTACTACTACTACTACTACTACTACTACTACTACTACTACTACTACTACTACTAGTACTACTACTACT